AGTAGCGTCCAATGTAGGTACAAACAAAGGGTGCGATTAATGGACGCGCGAAACGCTGAAAAAGCGGAAGAGAAAGTAAACTAAACTTTACTATAGTCCCGCATTTCCGCGGCGTCCGTCTGTTTTGATTGCCTTATATTACATGGAGCACATTTTGAGCGGAAAAAAAAGCGGAAGGTATAGTGACAAATAGACATTTTGTATTAATTTTTTTAAATTTGCTATTTACTTAATTCATGGTAATTCCTGTAATATGTCATCTTTTCAACTTATTATTGAATACAAGCATTTATATCAATAAATATGTTAAGGGTCGGCAGTACACCCAGGCAAACTCCGAATTGATATTGGAGACCTCGTGCGGTGACAACGCGAAACTCCGGTTTCAGTGTTGCCAACGCCGAGAAATCAATTCTCGGGTTTTATGTAGTGGTGTATGTCTGTACACGTACATACACCACTGCATCGCTCACGCGGACGCACGTAAGAGAGACAAGGACCGATAATCACGTGTTCTCCTTGTTCCTCTACCGTGCCGGTATACGCGAGATGCCGCCTAAAAATGCTTTCTGGCCTTCCGTAGCAGAAAGCAGTAACGTAGCAAGACTAATAAGCACCCATTTTGTAAATTTTATATATGCTTATGCACATATGTGGATATATTATTTATATATAAATATATATATATATAAAATATACTAATTTACTCTCAATTATATATGCTACTGTTATTATTTATCATTAGACAATTATAAAACAGAGGTTATAGATTTGGTCTGACTACACTGGCCTCAAATTAAAGTTGTATATATATTTATTTTAACATTTCGACCATACGGGATGTGGTCCTTTTCAAAAATACAGATTGGAATATCAGAGAGTTACAGCATTTCGTCTTTAAGATGTAAGCGCAAATTATGATTCGGAGAGATTTAACTTGTCAAATAATAAAATATAAAATAAATTATAAAACATATACATATATAATTTGTAGTGCTATATATATATGTTTTATAATTGTCTAATGATAAATAATAACAGTAGCATAATTGAAAGTAAATTAGTCTACAATGTTAGACACGGGTACTTGTTAGATTTGATAATTTATTGCTTATACTTTTTCGAGAGACAAGAATAAGAGAACGAATATAAATTATTATTAGCTTGTATAGCAATCATAGATTGACGAATATGCGTTGGTTATTCTTGATTTCTTTTCTATTATTGATGTTATTGTATAATTTGCTCCATAAATACTTATAACATAAAAGAACTTATGTCGAGTAATATTGATCAATGCAAAGGATGTTCAGTATGTATCACCCAGTAAATTATTAGAGTTCAAATATATCAATATCAATTTTTTAATAATATATTGGAATACAGAGAAATGATAAAAAAATATATTTCGGCAATAAAAATTTTATAAATATATTGAAAATATTTTTACTACACGCGCGCGCGCGCACACACACACACACACACACACACACACACACACACACCCACATACACACTATATAAATGCAAAATAATACAGAAAATAAATTTTTAATAAAAATCAACATACCAGCTATTTGTGTGTGCATATGTAGCTGCAAGCATGCAACGGATTTATTACTTGATAAATTTATTTACGGACTTATTTTGCATTTATATATATATATATATGTATGTAATTGTAAAAATGATTAAAATATTTTCAATATTTAAAAATTTTCAAGTTTATCGCCTTATATTTCTATAATTTTTCTATATTCTAATATATTGTAAAAAAATTGATATTGATATATTTGAACTCAAGTTTTTTACGTGATTGAATATTATTGCATTGAGCCATCATACGTTACTCGTAAGTTCTTTTACGTTATAATAGTATTTATGTAGCAGAGAGAAAGAGATAAGAGAGAGATTATACAATACAACTTTAATAATCGAAAAAAATCACGATAACGCTATTGTCATATCTATGTGTGTGCATATATAAACATATTAATTTGCATATTATCTACCCAGACAGCACCAAGTCTAAAATTGACGCATAAGATAGCATTAAGAAATCTTTAAGACAGCTATCTTATGATATGATATCAAAAAGACATCTTATAAAGATATCTTACGCGCCAATTTTGGACTTGGTGTTGTTTGGGTATATAAATAAAATATGTACACAAATAAAATAATATTTGCATAAATATTATTTTATTTGTACATATTTTATTTACATAGATTATATGCAAATATTTAAATAAATCATTCGATAATTTATTACACATTTTATTTATTATATAGATTTATATAGATTATATGCAAATATTTAAATAAATCATTCGATTATTTGTTACAGATGCATAATGTGAAATATATATTGCGTACACGAAACGATAATTGGAAGATAATGTTAGGCAAGAATTATTGCTATTCTTATTGTTCTTTTACATATAATATACATATACAGAGAAACAATGATAATACGAAAACCGGTTCTTGCTGATATCTCCCAATAATCGCATTCGTTCAACGCATTAGTGTTTGTGTCTACATGGATGTTACTACATATGCGATGTAAGAGAGACAAGGACAGAATGATAGTCTCTCCTTGTCAAGCTGTTAGCTGTCAGTATGTTACCACGGAAATTTCCCCTGCTCCTTATGAATTAGTGAGAATCTTATCGTCCAGATATTTCATAAAATAAGTGACATAACTTTGGTTTTTTTTTTTTTAATATATTCTTGATATAATAAAGTAGTCCGCCAAAGAGTCGGATTTTGCATTTTTGCTCTGAAAAATTTATAATAAATAAAATACGGACTCCTGGCTAACCCAACCTTACCCGTTACTAGCTGCGCATTCCCCCAAGTTATATTATAAATTTTATTTTCATCTTTTTTTCAATAAATAACTCTTTGGCGGACTGCATTTGAGCTTACTGATTAAGAATATCATAAATTTAATAAGATTCATTCAGTAGTTTCGCTAATATCTGGAATATAAGAATCTCTAATTCCCGGCCGGCCGATAGGCGTCTCTACCATGTCGCCTGCCGACCCTTAAATATTAATATTTTATAATTCCCCGTTCCACTTTTCCGCTCAAAATGTGCTCCATGTAATATAAGGCAATCAAAACAGACGGAACGGAACGCGCGGAAATGCGGGACTCTAGTAAAGTTTAGTTACTTTCTCTTCCGCGTTTCCGCGTTTCCGCGTTTCCGCGCGTCCATGTAATCGCACCCTAATACGTGAGCACACGGATGCAATATTGAGAGATAATGTCAGCAGAAAGGCTATCATATTATTTTTATTTTTTTGTATATGTATGCATATGTAAATAAAGAACAAAAATAAAAACTATTTTAAATAATAAGAATCTATTTGTGTGTGTGTGTGTAATTAAAAATTAATAAAAAAATTAAAAAATCAATTTATATATACCATAATTTTTTTTATATCATATAAAAAAATCCTAGAAATGTACTTAAATTTTTCGTAGATCCTCGATTTTTTTTCATTGCTTCTAAACATTCAGCTAAAAGAGCAGTTGAGACTATTCGAATAAAAAATATTTCATCTTATTTTTTGCAAATAATATAATATATTTTTTATTTAGGAGTCCAAAAATATATGTTATGTATAAGTTATTTATAATTTTCGTTCAAATTAAGAGAATATTGTATTGAATATATGTAAATAAATTTCAAGTAATAAATCAATTGCACACATGCCACAGTTGGTATGTAGATTTTTATTAAATTTATTTTAAATTTATTTTCTGAATTATTTTACACTTATATATAGTGTATGTAGTAAAAATATTTTCAATATATTAAAAATTTTTAAATCGCCGAAATATATTTTTTTATCATTTTTCTATATTCTAATATATATATATATATATATATATATATATATATATATATATATATATTATAAAAAAATTGATATTGATATATTTGAACTCTAATTTATATACTGGATGATACACTGAACATCCTTGCATTGATTATACACATTACTCAACGTTCTTTCACGTTATAAGTATTTGGAGCAAATTATACAATAGCATCAATAATCAAAAAGAAATCAAGTGTAATCAACATATCTCTTATATAATATATATATATATATATATATATTATATTATTATATATTAGTATATATATATATATATATATATATATATATATACGCACATATGTGCATAACCATATATACAATTTCCAAAAAGTGGGTGCTTATTAGCCTTGCTACGCTACTGCCTTCTGCTACGGAAGGCCAGAAAGCATTTTCAGGCGGCATCTCGCGTATACCGGCACGGTAGAGGAACAAGGAGAACACGTCATTATCGGTCCTTGTCTCTCTACGGTGCGTCCGCGTGAGCAATGCAATGGTGTATGTACGTGTATAGCCATGCATCACTACATAAAACCCGAGAATTGGTTTCTCGGCGTTGGCAACACTGAAATCGGAGTTTCGCGTTGTCACCGCGCGAGGTCTTCAACATCAATTCGGAGTTTGGCCGGTCGATTTGTCGACCCTTAATAGCGCCATCTGAATATTTATTTTTAGGGGGTTTTAGGAATGCGCTTTGCGCCATCTAATGTCTAGGTGTCGCCATGTGTTTTTGTGTCACGTGATATGTCGAGCTAAAAGTCACGTTATCCGTTATACTTCTACTTCTTTCCGGTGTCGATTGTCGAGAACAGCAGTCGTATTCTTCCTTCGGTATTCTCCATCCTACAGAAAAATGACGTGAGTCTATAAAATAAAAGCCTACCAGATATACGCAATCGCGTGTACAAATATTGTCGTCTCGCGGCAAATAAATATATTAAATTGCGATTATTAGCGAGCATATATTATTTTGGCGGAAGAATATTTACAAGTACAAAATATGACTATAAAACGTATCGTATTTTCAAGTACAAAAAACATGTGTCAATTTATGATATAAATTTACGTTGTTCTAAACTGCGTTTATTATTGCATGTTTTCGAGATTCTAAATTTAAAATAATATATAATGAATTTTTATCACATGTTACTTTTGTAGAATTTTTGAGGTTACAAAAAAATTTTGCATATGGATTCTTCTAATTTATGCATATTTATAATGCATTTATGTATTTATTAATAAATATTTATATTTTATTAACATAATATATATATATATGTTTTCGAGATTTTAAATATAATGCTAAATTTTTTTTATCACGTGTTATATCTGTAGAATTTTTGGGGTTACAAAAGAAAAATTTTACGTATGTATTCTACATTTATGTATATTTATAATATATTAATATAATAAATATTTTAGTATATAATATTAATTTATATGCGTACAGTCGAAACGTTTGTATTATTATTTTTTTTATTAATGAAAGATTTTTGAATAAATATTCTTTTTCAACATCTGTATAATTGTGCTCGATAGTTGACTTTATTGAATCTTAAGATTATTAATTTATATATTTGTTAATAAATATTTTAAGGATTAATCTTCTCTGTCTCATAAATATATCAACATAACTAAGTACTAAGAACAGTTTACATAAAACAATAAATTTAAAGGAAAATTCGACACATCACATTAATAGTAAAATATTTCAACTGTGGACTGAGCTAAGAATTTTAAAAGATTGACTCCTAAAAAAGTCGGACTGCCTCACTTTTGACTTACTAACGACAAACTTGAGCTGACAATTTTTTCTTGGAACATGGTCCTGACAATTAATCATATTTGTACATTGCGAAACATTTTAGATAACAAACGAATTATCAATGTGCGAATTAACGTATACTTTTAGACATAGATGTTTTAATCTTTGGTTTTTCTTTCCAATTTTTCGTTTTTAAATGTTTATTTATTTGATTTATATTTTATGCATCAATTGTTAAAATTTTAATGTATTGAAAAAGATTGTTGTACAATCGAAACATATATTGTTGCAATAATTTGATGTTTCTATTTGTAATAATAAATGTTTTGCATATATTGTTAAACAATTGTTACCTTCCCAAAAGCACCATCATTGCTTACATATAAGAATGATGGTCGTCAAGAGGAAGGATATTAAAGATTCTTCACTAGGTGAGGGCAATGTGAATCGTAACATTGCACCTCAATCCGTGTCGATACAAATCTCATCTAAAAAAAATTTAGTTTCTTAAATTATCTTTTTTTTGATATCCTGAATTAATGTAGCATTTAAGTTGGCCTTTAGTTTATCTTTTATCAATTTGTTAAATATTTTAATATATTAAATATAATATTTTATAATATATTTATTTTTCTACATATTTATAATTTATTTACATATAGATCTTTTATTTATTATCTCATATATTCTTCTGTACATTTTATGTTGCAATTGCAGATCTAAGGTTTCGCGTGATACTCTTTATGAGTGTGTAAATGGCGTGCTGACGAACTCACAAGAAAAGAAGAGGAATTTCTTGGAGACTATAGAACTTCAGATTGGTTTGAAGAATTATGATCCGCAAAAGGACAAACGTTTCTCAGGCACTGTCAAGTATGTTTTTACCTGACTTTGAGGCATTTTTTTCAATTCTATTTAATGATATCATTATGCATATGTTATATATATTTAACTGTAAAAAGATGCCTCATGTATGACATGTCAGGGAGCTGGGTTTTACCTGGCGGACCTATACCCAGGGTCTTAAATAAATTGGGGAGGTAATTATACCGTTATCTAAATTAAACAGGATCATGGTTTATGAGGAAGATCCTGTTGGTGAGTTATATTTTGAATAACGTTTAGGCAAAATTACATATGTGAATGTTACATTAAATAAAGATTATGTGATAGAAAATTTTTAGAAAGAATAGAAATTTTTGAAGAAAAACATTTTCTTAAGAAATTTTTTAAGGGAATAGCATACATTTTTGAAGTAGTTAAATAGGTTACTAATTACTTTGACTTTTATCAGGTTGAAGAATATCCCCAGACCAAAAATGCAAGTATGCGTTCTTGGTGATCAACAGCATTGCGATGAGGCTAAGGCTAATAATATTCCATATATGGATGCAGAGGCACTGAAAAAGCTTAATAAAAACAAGAAACTCGTAAAAAAACTCGGTATGTTAGCAATTTGTTTTGCTTATATTGTTAAACAATTGTTACCTTCCCAAAAGCACCATCATTGCTTACATATAAGAATGATGGTCGTCAAGAGGAAGGAGATTAAAGATTCTTCACTAGGTGAGGGCAATGTGAATTGTAACATTGCACCTCAATCCGTGTCGATACAAGTCTCATCTGAGAAAAAATTCAGTTTCTAAAATTATCTTTTTTTTTTTTTTTTTTTTGTAAAATTTTTGTATTACACGTGCAGGCAAAGTGGTACTTTGTGTGCGTGTCTTCTGTGCAGAAAGCGGCCGATTTCCCACGCCGCCGCAAGATGGCGTGGCGGCGTGCGATCGACCACCTCGCGCACAGAAAACGCGCACAAAGCCACTTTGCCTGCACTTGTAATACAAAATAGTATGTGTATCACGTGCGGATTGACAATTGTTCACTCGTGTGGGGTGGTCGCACTCGCCTTGGGCTCGTGCATCCATCCCCCGCACTCGTGACCAATTGTCAACTTTCCACACTTGATACACAATATACTATTAAATTTTTAATACAAGGAAATTGGTAAAAATTTAATATCAATAAATTAATTTTTTAAATCTCTTAATATTAAAAAAAGTTATATTATTAACTATAAGAATCCTGCACATACATACATAAAACAGAATATCTAAAGATTAATTAAAATTATTTAATTTTGATTAATTTTTTGGAGCTTAAAAACCAAAGTTAATAGTTTTGACTGTTTAAGAAAACTTGAAACTGAATAATATTTTACATATACATAGATTATTTTTTTAATAAAAATTTAATATTTTATGTATAGATTTTCTATATTTACTTTTTTGCAGCAAAAAAATACGATGCGTTCTTAGCGAGTGAGTCATTGATCAAGCAAATTCCTCGTCTTCTCGGTCCCGGCTTGAACAAGGCCGGCAAATTCCTGGACTTTTGTCTCACCAAGAATCTATGGTCGGCAAAATCGACGAAGTCAAAGCTACTATCAAGTTTCAAATGAAGAAGGTGTGTATATCTATGATTTTTCTTAAGGCTATAATTATTTATAATTAATATAATATAATTTATTTATAAATAATTATAGCAGTATAATAATTTTATTTCTGCAATAATCTGTATACATAATTTGGAAGAATTATTAGTTTGGAATTTAAGTTTCTTGACTCTTCAGCGATCATGTTAGATTGTGACGTCAGAGGCGAGAAAGCACACGATAAAAATTCTTAGAGATACCATTTCGAGATAAAAAAATATTTCGATGAAACAGCACTTTAGATGGCTTTAACATACCTTTAAAAATTCCTCGAAAACTATCCTTTTTCTTGTAACCAATCAACAACTGTAAAATGACTAATATGACACCTAATCCAGGAGCCTTAATTGACATAATTTTGTTTGTAACGTTTGGTAACGCTTTTTGTTATAAGGTATTATGTCTATCAGTAGCTGTCGGACATGTTGATATGACACCCGATGAATTGGTACAAAATGTTCATCTGTCGATCAATTTCCTCGTCTCATTGTTGAAGAAACACTGGCAGAACGTGCGTTCGCTTCATATAAAATCTACTATGGGACCACCACAGAGATTGTACTAAAGTTACACTTGGTACAAGATACACGTCGAATATAAATTTATTCGCAATAAAAGAGAAAAAAAATTATTTTAATAAATTCATCTTTCCTCCTCTCTGCGATAAACAAAAATATCTTCCGATATTTTAAGTGTGACGTTTTAATCTTGAGAGAAATTTCTGGAATTTTTATACAATAAATATTTATACACGTTCCACAATAAAATTTCAACTTTTTTGAATTGTAAATTGAAATTAATAATTTAAACAATGTTTAAAGCAACACGCGTTAATTTATTTGTATAAGAAACTCGCTAAAAAGAAGACTATTTTTGTTATATTTATAAAAAAATACATATTATTGTTTACGAAATAATTAGTAAACAATAGCCTTCAATGCAGGATGATAAATAAGACCTATGTATTTATTGACATTTTTTATTCAGAAATATTTCGAAAACAATCTCAAAGTTTCTTACTCGTTCTGAATCATTCTGTATTACATATATAAAATGTAATAAATATATGAAATTATAAAACTTGATTCTTTATTGATGTCATATTGAATGATAACGTCAGGAGTAGAAAATTAAATATTTTTCTTGTTAGACTTTAAAGAAAGACAAGAGATTAACGATAACATATCTTATATTTATCTTCAAAAATTTTCAATAAATCAAAAAATAAATTCTTTTCTATTTATTCATATAACCTATTTGCTTTATTTAACAACTATTATTTCTTTTGTTAAAATTTTTGAATATAGTATGTTATATAAGCAAGAGCCTACATGCACATCTACCATACAAAAAAAAACATAAAGAAACCGGATCTTGGATCCGGATGCCTCTTTAGGGACTTGCTTTCGTGTAAATCGCATGTATGTGTGTGCGTGGGTCCTAGTCCTGCTGAGAGAGATCCCCATAGGTATATGAGAGCAGACGCACCATAGGGCCAAGCTATTTTCAACGATCTTTGTGGGGGTAGTCTGGTGGCTGGTCGCTGTGCCTTGAAAAAGCACATGGTTTCGAGTTCCGCTTCGTAAGCAGATACCAGCGAAGCCGTGGACCCGCATTTAGCGGTTCAATTCCCGTCGCATTTTTTTCTCTCTTCATATATGCAATCCTTGCAAATTTTTGTTCCTACTACCGATTACGCGCGTTTATCGGTTTATTTATTCTCGATTTCTGCTCGGTGTTCCTCGTCGTTCCTCAACCTTGGAAATTGGAATGCCTGGAGTAAAGTATTCAGGTAAGTTTCAGGCGAATATATATTATATGTATACATATATATATGTATATATTTGTTTTAAGAATAAAAGCTATAAATTGCCTGAAAACTTAAGAAATTATTTCGATATCTCTTATACATAAATAAGCTTTTATAAATAATATTTTATTTATATAAGTACGAATAAATAAATAGGATAATTAGTGATTATATAATATGTTTAATTTTAAGGATTTATTTATATGTGTACATATTTATTATACATATTATATTTATTTATATGTGTACATATTTATTATACATATTATATTTATTTATATGTGTACATATTTATTATACATATTATATTATATGATTGTCGATTTAAGATATTGATTTAAAGTAATATTTATATATATATATATATAAATTATAATATTAAATTATAAATATAAATTATAATAATAATTAATATCAATTAAATTATAATATTAATAAATATACATATAAATTAAATATATGGATGAAAATTATAAAATATTTTTTATATAAAGATTGTTTTAGAGATATGACTAAAATTTATTTTTCATTCAATTTTAGTTAAATTATACTTTAATCAAAATTTTTCTTCTAAACTTTATTGCTATATCAATATACTTAATATTCGTGTTATATGTATAAAAAAGTGAAGATTTTTCTCGATATTATTGCATAAAAATTAAGTCTGCTCTTTCACAATCACAAAATTATTATTCTATAATTAAGAACAAATTTTTAAATGTATCTATAAACATACATAAAAACATAGTAGCAAAACAGAAACAATTTAATTGAGAATAATATACGATAGCGATACGATATGATATGACACATGCACATAAACATATACATATATACATATACACGCACATTTTTTCTCTCTCGTATAGATATGATTTATTGATATACAGAAGCCTAGGTTTTATTCCGATAAAATAGTCTCTTTCCGTAATATATGTGATAAGCAGAAATAACTTGGAGCTACTTTATATATCGTCTTATATATTATTTTATATTTTTTTTTTACTTTATATTATTTATATTTTATATGTATATTATATATATTTTATTTTATATGTTTTATTTATTTTTATATTTTAGAGATAGAGATAGAGATATATATATATAATATATAGAATATATAATATATATATATAATATATAAAATAAAATCAAATAAAATATAAAATAATATATATATATATATATATATATATATATATATTATTTTATATTTTTTATTTTATTTTATATTTTATATATATATATATTTATTTTTATTTTTTTACGCGAATCGAAGTAGATATAAAATCTGCAACAGTTTGCATATTACTATCGAGGTAAGAAAATTTTTGTGCAAGTTTGATGAGTTAGATCTAATTGTTATTTCAAGTATTAATTAAAGATTTTTGCAAAATATTCGCTAATAAATAAATATTTTTAAAATTGAAATTAATGCAAAGAAATTTTTGAAATTTTTTGAATCATCAGGAATTAATTATCGATTTGTGAACTCTGCAATGCAATTAATTTTTATTCAAATAAAAAGATCATGTAAATGAAAATTCAAGTTTTTTTTAATAAATAATGAGAGATAAAATCATGGTGCAAAAATATTATCATTCTCCATTTTTTATACTATCACAACAAGTTTTATTATATTTTTTATTATATTTTATTATATATGTATTATAATATTATATTTATAATATCAAGAGCTTTTAAAGTCTTATATTTATATTATATTATATTAACTATAATATAATAATAATATATATAATATATATATAATATATTATTATTATTATTATTATTATACATTATCACTTTTAGAATAAAATAAGTGCACGATTGCGAGGTTGGAAGAGTTCGCGGAATCGGATATTAATCATCGCGATACGCGGGATTATCGGTGAAAAATCGGCGGAAAAATCTCGATTGTGTCTACTCGCCATTTTCGCGCCATTTTTAATTTAATAAGAAGAGGGAGATTTTAAAGTACAAAATAGAATTCCCCGTCGCGGGGGATCACAGATGATGGACGGTTGCGCGGCGCTTGATATTTGATTACTAAAGTGGCCAGAAAAGAGTGCACTCTCGTTCCGAGAGTGGACTCTATCCCGTTATCAGTGATATCAACTGCTAGAAAGAGAGAGAGAGAAAGAGAGAGAGGGTGTCCATAACCGGGCGGAAGGCTCTGTCAAGCTTCAGTCGGGCAATGATTATCGAAAGCGTCAACAACGACGAAAGAGAGAGAGATGACGAGTTAAACTCCGATGCGTGTTTTCCATACATTTTTTATTATCAACGACGAGAGGGATTCGCAGACGTCCGATGATATCGCGTGCGTAAATTTTTATCTGTACCACGATCGATGATGCACAATAAAAAGTGCTTGGTTCCACGCTTCTTCGTCCAAAAATGGTGAAAAGAAAAAAAACGCGTGTATTAATCGATACCGGAAGAATATATATAGAGTGTCTTGCAGTGTCTTTCAGTGATAATAATAATAATATGTACTATTTTACAGTCAGAAATTATTTTAATCAGATTAAGTGAAATTATTTTAAACAGATAAAGTGTGTTTTTTAAATCGATTTTTAATGCCGCAAACTAAATTTTACTTGCATGTCAGATTTTCAAAATAATTGAGATTTAATGTGTAAAATGTGGCTTTTTTGCAATTTTTGAGATTTTTTTGTAAAAAAGATTAAAAACTCTGATCAAATATCACATAAATATATATAGTATATTATTCCTCTCCTATAAAAGGCATTTTTTCTATTTCAATATTTTACATTTTAGCAACATATGTGTTATAAAAAAATAAAGCTGGGAATTACTTTTATATGGGGATTATTCTTGAAGAAAAAAGATTTTTTTGGAGCAAAAAATGTTTTTTCCAAAATTGATTTTATTTAAAAAAATTTATTTGTTTCGAAAAATTCAAGGTGGGCAATTAAAAATGAGACATCCTATATATAAATATATACATTTAGTGGAATTTATCAATTATAAGTTACACTATGTTAGTTTTTGCATGTCAAACCTTATTATTGCGAAAATGACGTGTTTATGAAAAATTAACATCATTTTTAAAATATTCAAAAATCTATAAAAAAAACACCTTGTCTGGTTTAAAATAATGACAAAAAATATTTTTTTGTGACCTAGTGTAATTCTTCAACGTCGAATTAATGATTAATAATTAAATGAATTAATAATTAATATAATTAATATAATTAATATAATATATTGCCTGTTTGACACTCTCAATTTATATTTATATAATATAATATAATTAATATAATTATAATAATTGAATTAATAAATAAAATAATATTATATAATGCGATATACAGATTTTTTAGTCGATTTGTTGATTCTTCTTATTGAAAAAATATCAATCTTTTTTTAGTTTTCAATATTTCTTGTGAACTATAGTGTAGTTCTTATGAATTCTTGGCAACTTTAATTCGAATTTTTTTAATTATATAAAATAATAATTTTATCGACTCGCTATAAATATACAGACATAAAATGTAGAGACGAAATGTAGAGACACAATATCGTTTTTCTTGAAACAAGCTCGCGATAGGAACATATATACCGCGGCAAATCATAACCAAATCATTTCCGCTCTGTGTTAACTAAAATGCGTTTTATTTTAATGAAAATCTTCGGTTTAAAATATTGCGTTGCAAGTCCCGTTAGAAAAAAAAAATTATGTAGAATTTTTTACATGAAGATAACTAATAAATGTAAATATTAAATAAGAAATTATATAAAAATTGAAAATATTAATTTTTAGAAATTTTTTTTATTTTGAAGATATGTTTGATCTGAAAAATAATAATTAATACGATGTAATCTTCGAAAGAAAAAAGAGAAAAGAAAGAGAAACTTTTTTAAACTTTCATGAACAACAATAAATACAATAAAAGGAAGCAATTTTTTATTAATGATTAAACAGAATTTTTATTGTTTCTTTTATCTCGATTTGATAATTAGTATTATAAAAATAAATTGAAAATAATAAATTGATATATATGTATATTATATAATATATATAACTTTTTTATTTTATTAAAGCAAATATAATAATTTGATATAATATAATGTGATAGATTAATTGTTGCAAAATATTACGCATGTTTTAATAAAAACAGTTTTACATATGTATACTATATATGCATATCGATTTATTTTTATCGATAATCAAATCAAGATAAGAAAAATCAATAATTTTCCGTCATAACAATTGATATATTATTCTCTTCTACTTGCAGCATTCAATAAAATATGACCCTTGAAAAATTCTGGGTATCATCATTTATTATCACTCTTTGCATATTTCGCAATGATGGTGCGTCATCTACATCACAGGATGAGACAACGATGTCGGTCTTCGAATCGAATTATGATTCTGGATCGACGAAAAACAGTCTCTTAAACTATGATTCTGCTGAATCTGTGAAAAATTTTATCAGTTTTGAGAATGACGACTTTGAAGTTACGAAGACCAAAAATTATGAATTTATTACTGCGAATTTTTTCATCGAATCTACCACCGAACTGACAACTAATTCCCAGCCAAACACCGATGATTCTTCATCGCCTTCAACAATCGATCAAACTACGCAATCGAAGTCTACTACTACTATCGACGATGTGACTTCTACGGATAACAACACGATTTGCCTAAATTGGCTAGAAAACACAAGTGGTAAAGAAAAATGTTTAATATCATTAAAGTTTTTTTTTTATATAAACTATATATAAAAGCACTTATGTGTGTGTGTGTGAAAGAAATATATTCAATATTTTGATGGATTAACATTCAAATTTGGATGTTATTCATCATATTAAGAGTCAATCTCAAAATCAAATTTAAACGTTAACACTCAACTTTGACGATTAACACTCAAATTTAAAGGTATATTATTCATCTAAGAATAAATCCCAAAACCATACACGTTAACACTCAACGCTTTGATAAAAAACACTCAACCTACGTCCAAAATTGAGTGTTAATCGTGAAAGTTGAGCATATTTTTATATTTAAATTTGATTGTACGCATTGACCAAGAGATTTGATAAGTTGTAGATTTAATCCTTAACGATAGCAGGTATAGATATAGGGATTAACACTTATATGATGAGTAGGTTAGAAGTTGACTCTTATCGGTGGAGAAATATTGAGAACATCCATATATATGCAATAGATTCGAGTTTAGTCTCATTTGAGAGTTATTATTTTAGGATTAACCATCAATTGAAGGTCAACCATCAATTAATCATTATTTGAAGATTAACCTTCAATTGTTGGTCTGGAAATCACACCCAACTTTATTGATTTTTTTAAATTATATTTTACGCAAAATATTTTATCGTGAGATCATCTTGATTGCTTATATTTGTATCTTATAATTGGTAGATATAAATAAGGAGATACTTGATTTGAAGATAAACGATACAAGTACAGAATGGATCGCTCTCTCGTGGGAATCCCCGTGCAACGATGCGACAATCATTCCGATAATGTATCATATCGAGAGATGCAAAGGCAAAAATTGTAAGGAGACAAATGAAACTGATACATGGCACAACGCCACTGATCTCGATCCATGTACATTGTATAAGTTTAAGGTCAAAATTCTTACGGATTTCTGGGAATCTGAAGGAATCAATTTATCAGCAACAACAAAACACACTAGTAAGTCTAGAATCACAATTCATATATTGATAATAATATTACAAAAATATTTTTTTTATTATTTTAACCAGACAAGGTGTTTCTTATAGATTTTTGGATACTTGATGCCACAAGCCAATTTTTACCAGAATCTTAATTCTTTTGGAAATCTGACGTACATGTAGTGAAATTTGGTTTGGCCAAAAATTTATAAGAAACATTGTATAAGTCAGTGTAATTATTAAAATTAAATTAATTAAATTAAACAAAGATCGATCAATATACTAGTTTTGAGACTTTCGTGGCCATTGGAATCATTAATGTAAAAGGCTTCCGGTGCAAACTGCAACGTTTGCGAAACGTTGGCATTACGCTGTTCAACCATGTGGCATCCAACCGGAAGCCTTTTTCATCGATGGTCAATCAATATATTCTTCTTAATTTTTTTTTACTTTTCAGTTCCCGAAATCGGAGATGTACTCGAGCTAAGTGTACAAAACGTCAGTGTTAACATTGTCCAATTAACTTGGCAACCGCCCGCGGTGCACGAAACATGCATATCTAATTACTTGATTACACAGTGCGACAGTGAAAAATCTTGCAACGAGACCGTGGTCTTCACCACGAATTATACCGCCGACAACCTTGAACCGTGCACGCGATACCACTTCACTGTCAAAACGGTAACGCAAACTGTGCAATCCGCCGGAGTGAACCAGACTGCGAAAACAGCTTCACCGAGTAAGTAACAAAAATTGCTTCTCCGAAAACAGATCAGGAGGAGTGATAGCATCCCTAATATAGCACAACATATCCGAAAGATATTCAGAGGATATCTAGAGGACATCCTCAGGATGTTCTCTGAACGTCTTCGGGATATGTGTGCTGTTAGGGATGTTGTTCTTTGTGAAAAGTTCATTTACAAATTAATTTTACAGTCAATTTCTTTTTTTAGAGAAATTATTTATGATAAGATAAACTTTTTCAAACTTAACCCCTTACACAGAAAATACTCAACTTTGGGTTTGTTAATCATAAAAAGAAAAAAAACACCAAAAAGATCCTCAAAGTTGGGTATGATTTCGAGATCGTTAATTGAAAATTAATCTTCAAATGATGATTAATTGGTGATTAATTTTGAAAAAGCAACTTCAAAAATAAGAACCCTCAAATAAGATAAACTTTTTAACTTACTAAACTTTAATGTACATTCAAATTTAAGTGTTAATACTTAAATTTGAGTGTATTAATCTTTAACATTTAAACTTGAATGTTAATCATCAAAGTTGAATGTATTTTTTCATAATTGCAAGTTATGCACTCCGATGAGTTAATTCGGGCAGCCCCTTTTTTTTATATTCTTTACCATTTTGTTAGAAGAAAAAATTATATGTTAGGAATTAAACATTGAACAAGTTTTGAATTAAAATTTATATCAATTTATAGCACTTTGCACGTTTATTTTTTTCCAATTCCAAAATTATACAACTAAAATTTGAACAAATTTGATACTTTGCCAATTTGCAGAACTATTAGGGCCACGAGATTTGAAGATAGAGCCTGGAAATTTTTCACTTCACGTCTCCTGGAAACCACCAAAGTTCGACGCACTTTGTCTAAAACATTATCATGTAACCATATTTTCTAAGAAATTTAACTTTCACGAAAATACCACGGAAACAAGTATACAAATTGGGGACTTAAACGCTTGCGCGACGTACGAAGTGTACATCAACACTGTGAATGAAGACGACATTGATGGGGAAACGGCGAAGAAAAGTGGTACCACACGTGAATCCAGTAAGAACATTTTTTTGAACATTTATATTTATATGACATTTATATTTATATTTTGTATATGTAATATTCCTTAACAGCACACATATCCCGAAGACGTTCAGAGAACATCCTGAGGATATTCGAATGTCCTCTGGATATCCTTGGAATATTCTCTGAATATCTTTTGGATGTGTTGTGCTATTAGAGATTCTATATACATATCTCAGACTTGTCGTAAACATTATCAATGGCAGATTTCTGGAATTATATTTGGAGACTACTTTTTCCTCAGCGAAAATGTCGAAATGAGAGGCTATTTTTTACATGTTCCCAATATTTGCTCTCATGTATCTTTGCAACTAAGACTTAAATTAAAATTCTATTAAAGTAAACTTGAAATTAATTGAAGAATATGATCTTATATAATATCGCTCGAAAATTATTGGTATCTCAACATTTTCACTGAGAAAAAATTGTCTCCAAATAATTCCAGAATGTTTTTTTTTCTATACATATATTGTTCTAATATTTGTTCTAATATAAGATCAGTTTTATATAATATCAAAATATTATTATTCTCAATGTATACATTTTAGAAACAAATCCACCAGTGCATAAAGGCTTACCGATCACGAACGCGAATAACATATCGATGATCTGGATGATCGAGAAGGAGAACAACAATCTGTGCACATTGGACACGATAATAACTTCATGTAATTATACAGGAAGCAATGGGAGCGGCTATAACCCTATAACCCATAGTCTATCTATAACGAAGATCGATTCAGATACAGTCGTAATAAATACAACTGTGGCGAACTTGAGTCCCTTTACAAGTTATACTTGCAGCGCGTGTACCGTTAATACCGCGGGATGCAGCGACTCCAGCGATGAAATCAATGCTACGACGTTAGAAAGTGGTGAGCATATATGCACATAATTACCTAACAAGAAAAAGTTGAGCAAGTTAGGAAAGTCAAAAAATTCTGGAATTTTGTGTACAAGTGGCTTTTTGCTTTTTTCTCGGTATATCTCGAAAATTATTTAAAATATCAAAAAATATTTTAGACAAAGGTTTTATAGCAAAAACATTTCTATTTAACCATGTTAATAAAATTAAAAAAAAATAATTTTTAGGGATTAATAATTTTGAAAAATCTCGAAAATTATTCAAGATATTAAAAATGTTTTAGACAAAAGTTTTATAGTAAAAACATCTCTATTTACCCACGTTAATAAAATTTTGAAAAAATAATTTTGGGGGATTAATAATTTTGAAAAATACGTTAATAAAATTTTAATTTTGGAAATTAATTTTGAAAAGTTATTTTTTTTAAAACGGAAGCATTCCTTGTTGAATTCCAACAAGGAATGCTTTGATATGTCGAGATAGATCGTTGTTTTTTGACTGATATCACTGCTATTCTAAAGTTTGTCACTGAAGATGGTTAAATAATAACCGAAACGTTTGACAATTGATTGCTGTTATTACTTTATTACTACTTTACACTAAGATCGTGTACGTGCTCTTTGCCCATCTGTTACTCTTTAATTATTTTTCAATATCTTGAATAATTTTCGAGATATGTCGAGAAAAGTAAAAAAGTAATTAGTTATATGTAATTTTTTTAAATTTAACATCAATGTAAGTCAAAATTACAATTTCAGTGCCATCTTCGCCTGAATTTACGTTCGACAATGTTACCGACTCGCAGTTCACTTTGAATTGGGAATTACCGGAGTATTTGCCTGGTAATTTGGAAGAGTTTGAGATAGTGATAACTGATTGGAAAGCGCTTTATCCGATTCCGAATTGGTGCGTTCGCGAAGAACCAAAAAGGCCCATTAAACGAAACGTAAGCGGCAGCATATTTGATTATACTTATTTCGAAGCAAAAGCATACACAAATTATACCATATGCATGAGGGCAAGAACAGGAGCTGGATGGAGCGATTGTGGCCGTCCTCAAATTATTAAAACAAGTAGCATAGGTATATTTTATTTTTATCTTTTTACTTCGTAACATATAAATTATATATTATTAAGTCTTTTAAAATACTAATTGTAAGTTAATATTTCTCTTTTTATTCCTTCGAAAAAGGTGAAAATTAGATTTTTGTTTTTCTTTTCTAAAATTTTGAACAAGTTATAAAAAATGAAATTTGGTGAATATTTTTTACTAATAAAAAGAATTTATTCATATTAATTTTTTTAATAATATTAATTTTTGAATAATAATTAAATTTAATAATAATTAAAAATTAATATCAATAAATTCTTTTTATTAGTAGAAAATGTTAACGCGGTCTCTACGCACATACATCCGCGCTTTTATAGCCTTTCTAATTTTCAGTTATTTATTAATTTTCTAAATTTCCTAAAAAGGGATCAAACTAGCTACCCTTATATTCAATTTTTAATTAGAACTTTTTAATGGACTGAAATACAAACATTTAAAAATATTTTTTATTTTTTTTCGTAAAAATACATAATTTTTAAGAAAAAAATCCATTATTAAAATGCATTAATATTTTATATCTGCTATTTAATTTAATATATAAAATCTTATTTATACTTTTTTTGTTATAAAAATTTGGCACAAATAACATAAATAATTTGAGACAAATAAATAATTGTAGACAAACTGTATCGAGAAAATATTTATACAATTGCGTATAACAAGTATTTAATAATTTCAAATTTATGAACATTACATCTCTCTCTCTCCCCTTTCTTGAGTGTTTTAAATATATATGCATGTGTAATCGTATTATTTAGTTTCAGAAGCAATCTCGAAATTCAATTCCTCTTCTATCATTATTAAAGAGAGTTCGCACAACAGCAACGTGTTGGATACAATTGTAACGTGGGGTCTGCCGTGTTCTTTAAACGGTGAACTCGAATTCTTTAATGTTTCGGTTTACGGTATCCGTTCCGGAGAGGAATATCTGCCTCATTCCTTTTATAGAAAGCACAAATGCGCGGAGTACATTGATAACGATTATATGTGCTCGATAAATCTCAACGAACTGAAAGGGGAATATAATTACACCTTCACGATATCCACCAAAGTTAAGGGTATCGATACTCTCAAGTCAACGAATTTAAGCAAGCCGTATCCTGCCGGCAGTATGTATTTATGTATAATGCACGCAATCTGATGATTCTCTTTTTTATTCTACCAATTTTATCGTATATTGTGTCACTATTGGATAAAAAATATAAAGAAGCAAAGAAGATATGAAGTAACTATAAAAAAGATATGAAGTAATCTCAAATTTTTTTATACATCTTCTTTATACATTTTCTATACATCTTTATCATATTTCAAAAAGATGTAATATTACTTCACATTTTATTCTTTTTATATACATTTTTATTATAATTATCTTCTTATAAATAAGATCCTAAAAGAAGATTTAATAACATCAAAATTATATACAATATTAAGAAGATATGAAGTAATATCACATCTTCTTGAAGTATGAAAAAATATAAAGATGTATAAAGAATATATAAAAAGGATACGTAATAGTATATTGTGTATCAAGTGCGGAAAGTTGACAATTGGTCACGAGTGCGGGGGATGGACGCACGAGCCGAAAGCGAGTGCGACCACCCCACACGAGTGAACAATTGTCAATCCGCACGTGATACACATACTATTTTGTATTACAAGTGCAGGCAAAGTGGCTTTGTGCGCGTTTTCTGTGCGCGAGGTGGCCGATCGCACGCCGCCATGCCATCTTGTGGCGGCACGGGAAATCGGCCGCTTTCCGCACAGAAAACACGCACACAAAGTGCCACTTTGCCTGCACGTGTAATACAAAAAGGATTTGATTGCTTCACATTATCTTTATGGTTTATATGTGATTGCTTCATATCTTCTTTTTACACATATTTTTGATTCTTTTTTATCTTATATCTATAATTATCTCTTTTATTCATAAAAAGATTATTACATAAAAATGTATATAAAAAAAGAAAATATAAAGTAATCTAAAATGATATGATTACTTCATATCTTCTTTTTATACATATTTTTGATATAATTATCTCATTATTAATAAAGAAGATTATTACATAAAAATATGTATAAGTAGAAGATATGGAGTAATCTTCTAAAAAGATATGATTACTTCATATCTTCTTTATACTTGTTTATACACATTTTTTGTGATTCTTTTTATATGTTTTAGTACCACCGCAACCCGACGATGAGTACATCAAATCAATCACCATAGATCCGTATAAGATGCGCAGATCCACAACTACGGCTGCTGTCTTACTACCCCTATTCCCTGATACCAACGGAGATATCAAGTATTACGCCATCATGGTATCGGAGAAGGGATACAATAATGTTCAATCGAACACGAGATTCGATGTGAAAAATAAGTTCTGGCCCAATGTGTCTTCTTGGGAGGAAGCGATGATAAGAGATTTCTCCATAACGTATCAAGCGACGTGGCCGCAGTGGGATTCTTATCGTAGGTGATACGTTTACATAGATGGATATAGAACGATAGATAACTTAAAAAGTTGGAATAGAGAAAGAAACAATTTCAACGTATCACACGTATATATACATCATCGTTAAATATTTTTTCCAGTGAGCCACATCGTTGATTACGGTCACATAAAAGCCATCAAGTATACGATCGGTGAGGACACCGATTGTAAGGAAGTTTCGGCAAATACGAACAGGCAATTGTATTGTAATGGACCTCTCAAACCGGACACGTGGTATCACGTTAGAATGAGGGCGTTTACTTATGGTGGTTACACCGATTCCGACGTGTTTCAAATAAAAACGAGTGAGTATATCTATATCTTCAATATAATAATCTTCTTCATGTCTTGTAGTTTTTATTTATACATAAAAAATGTGTATAAAAAGAAGGTATGAAGTGATTATAGTTTCTTAAAAGATATCTTTTTTTATACATTTTTAATGTAATTATCTTTTTATGAATACAGCTACAAGATTATTACATCACAAAAATGTGTATAAAAAGAAGATATATGAAGTAATAATCTTTTTAGAAGGTTACACGTTATATCTTCTTTTTATACACATTTTTTTATGTAACAATCTTCTTTATTAATAAAAAATAAATACATAAAAAATGTGCATACAAAGAAAATATGAATAGTAATCTTTTTAGAAGATTACTTTATATCTTCCTCTTTTATTCATATTTTTGATGTAATTATCTTTTTATGAATAAAAGAGATAATTATAGGGAAGACCGAGGACAAAAATAACAACGTTATGAAAGTAACAAGTCTTCTGTGAGCCTACACAACGTGTTGAATAATTTATATTAGGACAGTAAATGAGTATATTCCGATCCTATTTCCTCTCAATTAGTCGTTGTAGAATAATCGCGCTGGTTCCACATGCAAGATCGGAATTTATGTATGTACATTACTCACGAAAATATTTCTTATTTTAGTTTTCTTGTCTCTGTCTAATTAAAGTGTATAATATTGATGTAATTATTTGCTGATGCATTCTTCTAAAATGTATTTATAAATTTCTGTAATTGATTTCGATAAGTCTTGCGTCGTTTTTAGATTGTAATAATTTTATTTCAAAAAATGTGTCCGGGGACAAAAGTAACAATATTTGTACCACAGGATATTCTTAAATAAAATTGTGATTTGGAGCAGATATTGATATCTTGATCTTTTTTGTATAGTAGGTAAACTTATTTAGAGTTAAAAAGTTATAAAACTGCTCTGTGAATTTAATTATAATAATTTTATTGCATAATAAAGAACATTTAAGTTTTTCAAAGAAGATAATAATAATTAATTGTTTTATTTTTTTATTTTTATTATAAAAATTACTTAATATTTAATAAATAATTGTATTTTTATTTTATATTCTAAAATAAGATCTAATGCTTCTATTTTTATACTGTGTTACTTTCGTCCTAGGCCCCCAGGATGAAAGTAACAATAAATGCACTTGTGGAAAGTTAAAGTAGCTTTTTAAATACCTATTATTCGAAGATGAAACATAGGTATAATAATAGACCAATAAATGGAGTATCTTAAGATATAATCTGATTATTTATGATATATCTCTAAAGGTAATTGATAACTGATTTAAAATGCAAAAAAAATGTTACTTTTGTCCTCGGTCTCCCCTAGATACAAGATAAAAAAATAATAAAAAATGCGTATAAAAAGAAGATATGAAGCAATCATATAGATCATAAAAAATATGTGAAGTAATCAAATCCTTTTTCTATATCTTCTTTATACATCTTTATTTTTCTTCATACTTCAAGAAGATGTGATATTACTTATTAAATCTTTTCAACTGGCTGCACTAGTTCAGAGTTTAGCTTTTTTTACTTTAGATTGAAAGGAAAAAGATAAACTCTGACCCAGAAAGCAAACATATACGTCATTTTTATTTTTATATAATGACATCAGTTTTTGCTATTTGGGGAACTAATAATGCAGCCAATTCAGCTGAAAAGGCGACAGACATGTAATTTTGAATCTATCGATTTTAATCTCGCTCGTGTTGTTATCTAACAGAAATTTCCTATTATTTTGTATTTCTTATATTACTTATATTTTGCAATATTAGACGCGGAGCTGAATGTCGCTCTTGTGGTCGGGGCCGTCTTCGGCATCCTCTTCGTCGGGATACTGGTGACGATGATGTTGCTCGTGCGAAAATGCTCGCCGTACATGTAAGTTGGAACTTTTACGATTATCTATCGCCTTGTCTAGTGTATCAAAATCATTAAAAGTGATGATCAACTAGTACATAAAAATGTATATAAAAAGAAGGTATGCAGTAATTATAGCTTTTTAGAAGATTATAACTTCTTTTTGTACATTTTTTTATGTAATTATCTTTTTATGAATAAAGACTACATAAAAAATGTGTGTAAAAAGATGTATGAAGTATAATCATATTTAGAAGATTACTTCATATTTTCTTTTTATACACATTTTTTATGTAAGCATTTTTTTTTATTAATAAGAAAATAATTACATCAAAAATGTGTTATCTCGATTAAACGCGATGTCTTCAATCGATGATATCTTCATCTCGAGGTGCACCAAGCTTCACCTTACCGGGAAAAATCCTTTCTACAAGTGCATTACATAGTAACAAAAATAAGATAAGATAAAAATTGCAACTATGCAATAAACATCGATATATATTACATTAGGATATGAAATTAAAATCACACGTCGCGGACAGCGATGCGCCACGTGATAATCCTGATGAAGCGCACCGCGGACAGGTACAACGTTTATGAACAATGATCAATATTTATTCTATGACTCACAGAAGAGAACTATATAGCGTGAGCAAGGTCGCTCGATGTGCACACACGTCTGTATCGTAAGCACACACTAAGATATATACACATAGCGATCTTGTGTGTTTGTGCGCGTTTGTCAGTGCTCGACGAGGTGTCTGTCGCGAACTATCGCGAGTTTCGAACTTATTTCGTATCTCGGAGCGTATATTTTTATCATGGATATTTTTAAGCACGCGTGCGAGAGAGACGCATAGCGAATACAATAGAGAGATTGTAGACTATTATAGTGCGTGTTCGCTGTGAAACAAAAAAATTGCCCGACAGGGAATAATTCGGCTATGATTTCGACCTTCTATAGAATCGACTCGGTGTACTCGTTTCTAGCCAAGTGCGTATGTTCGTTGCGTAAGTTTTTATTATTATTATTTCCTCCTACTATACTACTACTATGAATGGACCGCTATCTGTCCTATCTTTGTAAGAGAAGATATGCATATAATTATGCGTCTTTAAAGTTCATCATTACTTCGATGACCTTTGCTGAAGTCTTAACGAAGACATTGATCCCATTCAACGTGATTACTCTTCTAATCTCTACCCAGATAGCCACAGTAATTATTATGACATCAAAATGCATCATTTTGATGGCAAATGATGCATTTTGAATGCATTTGATCAAAATGATGTCATAATAATTACTGTGGCTATCTGGGTATTACTTTACATATAAGTGCGCACGCGTGTCTCTATATTATACACATTTCATATAATTTTATACATATATTATTGTAATTAAAAGAAATAAATATTGTAGGCCAACTAAACGAGCAAAATTACATAAGATATAAAGATTTATTAATAATTAAATTCTCATTCCATTAAAGAAACAATATACAACGTAAACGTTTCGACTGCACTACAGTCTTCTTCAATACATAAAACTCAAATATTAAAATACAAAGTTAACGATTCTTCGCTGATGAACAATGGATGAGTAAGACGATTGGTCTGAGATTCCAAGTTTTGCGACATTTAATCATGCTGTGGAGATTTTACGCAAATTAATTAATATCAGAGAAAATTGAAAAATCTTTCAACTTACATTATCGTTTTAACAAGTTCTTCTTCTCGAAATTTCAAGTGTGTGTTGTGAAATCTAAATAACAAATGTCAAGGTAGAGCGTGATGTATATATTTAATACCAATGTTTTTCTAAACTATGATTCAGCTAATTTTCTAAGTATGTCAAAATAACTACTGTCTAGCAATTCAGTGTCTCTGTTTAAATTAATTCCATTTTTCTGTTCTTTAATATGAATCATTTCAGATATTAGCCTTTTATGGTAATTCTTTTCATGATCCATAATCTTAGTGTTATCCCAGTCAAATGTATGCTGTTCATTTAGAATGTGTTCCGTGACAACCGAATGCTTAGCAGAGTCTAATTTAATATTATTTTTATGTTCTTTAAGTCTCGTTCCTAACTGTCTTTTTGTTTATCCGACATATGTGGCGTCACAATCATTGCAATTCAATCTATAACTAACATTAGAATTCTTGGGACAATCGTTTCTGTCCTTTTGAACCTTTATAAAGTCATTCAATTTTTTAATGCAACGATATCCCACCAATATGTCAGGTCTTTTTATTGCTGAAGCGACTTTATCAGAAATTGATTCTATATATGGTATGACAAAATATTTAATGTTTGTATTTGTGGTATTGGTATCGATTATATTGTTGGTATTAGACTTGCTAAATTTCTTCGTTGAAAGATGTTTCAATCTGCGTTTTATTTCTATAAAAATTAAGTCAAGAGGATAACCATTGGATAGCAAAATATTAATAGCTTTCTCTATATTTTTTTTGTGAAATTGAAGATGTGATAGCAATATAGCTCTATCTACCAAGCTATAAATTGTTCCTAATTTATGACAAGTCGGATGATTTGAAAAAAATGAGAGTAATCTACCTGAGAATATCTTTTTATGATACCAATCTAAATAAATTTTATTATCTTTGATCATTATGTCTAAAAAGCTTATACATCGATTATCCTCTTTTTCTAATGTAAATTTTAGTCGATCGTTATAATTGTTGAATTCATTCAAAACGTATGTAATATTGTCAACGGAAGTGTATAAAATAATATCATCTACATAACGGAAATAGAAAGTCAGTTCGCAATTTAAATTACCAATTACCAATGTTTCCAAGTCCTGCATGACTATATCGGCAATGATCAGAGAAAGTGGAGAGCCCATAGGAGTCCCATAAATTTGTTTGTAAGTTATGTTATTGAAAGTAAAAAATGTAGAAGTTAATATAAATTTTATCATACTTATGAAGTCATTTTTGGGAATCTTTGTGTGTGACTCTATAAAATGCCATCTACTATTGATACCGTTTAATGCAAGATCTATGGAGACATTAGTAAATAATGAAACGACATCCAATGAAATTATTGTGTCAGAATATTTTAGCGTTGTTCCTGATAGAATGTTGCATAAATCAAAACTGTTATTCACAAAACTGTCAGCTCTAGGAAGGCTATCTTTTAAAATTTTATGAAAAAAAGAAGCAATGTTATGTAAAGAAGTATTTATTGAGGAAACTATTAATCTGAAAGGAATATTTTCCTTATGGACTTTGGGAAGCCCATAGGCATTGAGGAGAAGGGGATCGCTAGAAAATAAATAATAATATTCCTTCTTATTGATGATATCTTTTTTCAACGATTTTTTTTAAATTATTAAGTTCTTTTTCTATTTTAGATGACGGGTTATTTTTAACTATGATATAAGTAGAATCATCTTTAAAAGACTCTCAACTTTCTTTATCTAATGCGACTGTAATACTGCCTTTATCTGCTCTAGTAAATAAAATGTTGGGGTTTGATTACAGAATTTAATTGTCTTTGTGCATGAGCAGTAATTGTTCTTGTGTGTACGTTTTTTGTCATTATTTTTAAATATTATATATATATCATATATTATTGTGTTTTATATTATATAATTTTATATATGTTTTATATTATTTTATATATTTTTTATTATATGTTTTTTTATCTATATATATACATCAATAGTTATATCCATATATATGTATATGTATATGTATATTATGTCTCATCGTGATTTTTTATTACGCATTTATCGTTATTTATAAATATATTTAGCAAGAGATATTTACGTAATATTTTTTAATGATAAAATAAATAAAATAATTAATTGATTGTATTAATTGATTTTTTAAATAATTAATATAAAAAATTACATAATAATTATTAATATAATAATATTATATTAAAAAATTAAAATAAATAATAAAATAAATTTAAAACTTTTTTTTAATTAAAGAAAAATTTTTTACAATTTCCTAAAGCATATATAAATACGATGTAAACAAACTTTTTTACAAAAAAAATTAATATTAAAATTTTTTTTTTATAAAAAAAAGCTAATAAAAAAGTTTTTTACATAGTTTATATGCTTTATAAAAATTCGCAATCTCTTTTTTATTTCAGAGTATTGCGAAGATTCTTGCATTCCGACATGCCCGGTTCGCCAGTGCCCGCCCCGTTCACCAGAAAGAAATTTATCAGCCATTGTCAACAACTAGTTGACAATCCTGGAAAATTGAGCAATGAATTTCGACTGCTTCAGACTCTCAGCGTCGATTTGCAGATGCCTACCAACACCGCTTGCTTGCAGGCTAATCGAAAAAAAAATCGCTACTCTGACATTTTACCCTGTACGAATACTCTGATGTTCATTTTATTTCGCGCACACACATATACACATCTACACATACATGCACGCGTACACACACTTGTATCTAGATTAAATGTGATTCATACTTTCAGATGATTTCTCAAGAGTAAAGCTGGAAATGATAGATAATGATCCTAATACAGATTATATTAATGCATCATTCATTAGGGTAAGTATTTTACATCACGTTACATACACACATGATTTATATATACATGTGATAACATTATAGTTTATAAAAAAAAATTTTTTCCATTATTTTAAATCATACTTGATATTAAAATAAAAAATATAAAAAAAATCACATAATATTTTAATAAAAACAAATTGTAAATATATATTCGACATATATATATATATATATATATATATATATATATATTTAATTTTACTCTTATTTAGCACTTAAGAAATATATATATATATATATATATTTCTTAAGTGCTAAATAAGAGTAAAATTAAAAAAGATATTATAATTTTTTTAAAAATTTTCTGAATTTCTATAAAATTCTCTGAATTTCAATAAAATTTCATGATATAAATCCTGCATTTTTCAAGATAAAAAACATCTCCCGATTTTATTCTATTTATATTATAATAATGTAAATATATTTATTACATCTTATGTACATTTTAGGGATTTTCGGGTGAGGACGAATATATAGCTTGTCAAGGTCCGAAGGAGGAAACCACTTATGACTTTTGGAGGATGATCGATCAATACAATATTAATATTATAGTTATGCTAACACAATTGATCGAGAAAGGCAAAGTAAATTTTCTGATATACCTAATAATATATAATTAACATTTAATATATTAACGTTATTTTTATCACGTATTGATCCTATTCTTTTTTCTTCTTAGGAAAAATGTCATCAATATTATCCAGCGATTAGGGAAACCTTTCGATATGAGAACATGACGATACGATGTACAAGCGAATTAGATTTCAGAACTCACACTCAAAGAACACTTATATTACAAAAGGTTTTTAATTTTTGAATAATTAATTTATAATATATAATTAATAATTTAATTAATTATATTAATAAACTTATTTAATAAATTTATTTAATAAGTTTAAAAATAATAAAATTAATTAATAATTGAATTAAATTAAATATTGTTTAATAAATTTATTAATAATTAAATTAAATATATTTATATATATTTATAATATATTTTTAATAGAAATGTTTTTATGGGACAAAATATATATATATATATATATATATATATATATATATACAAATAATAAAATTGCAGGAAAATAAAAAAAGAAATATCACTCACTTGCACTTTAAAGATTGGCCTGATCATGATGTTCCGGAAGATTTCGATGCGATGATCAATTTTTGTCAAATTATGCGCCGCAATATTAGCAGCAACAAGGATTACATTGTTGTTCACTGCAGGTAATAAATAAATATAATAAAGATAATTAGACATATATAATTAATAATTATAATAAATAAATAAGTGCACATTACTTTAGAGGGGTAAAGGGTACCGAGGAATTCATATTTCAAATATGAGATTGTTCCTCAATGTCTTAGCAATGTCTAATCAAATATATTTCATGGCTCGTACAGCGACTCTTATAGATTTTAGTTATGATTAATAAGATATATTAATAGTATCTCTGCATAATATTTTAGAGTCCTTTCATCAAAATAAATCAAACTTTTATTTTAAAACACCTTACTTAAAGAACTAATGTTGCTTTATACATTAATCACTGTTCTAAATTATTATGTTTAATAATTAAAAGTATTATTATCCTACAGCGCAGGCATCGGTAGAACAGGAACGTTAATAGCGATAGATATTCTTCTGCAACATCTTAGAGATAACAGAAAGTTAGATGTCTTCGGAACTGTATATAGACTGCGACATCATAGAATAAATATGGTGCAAAGAGAAGTAAGTATAAATTATATCGGTCTAAAGAAATATTTATAGCTCCTAAATTAATGAAATTTTTAAAAAAGTTGAAAAATCGACATTCTTGTTGAGAAAAACATTTTAGTTTTACATTTTATGTAACTAATCATCTATTTTTATAGCTATAGTCTATTTTTTGTCAAGTTCTTGAAGCACAATTTCTGTATATTAATAATATTTCTATATAGACTTTTGTATAATACAAAAGTTACATTATTTTCATATTTTCAGAGTCAATATGCTTATATATATAATTGTATAAAGCAAGTACTCAAGAATCCCTATTTCTTAAAAACTTGTAAGTATCTTTATTTATATGCTACCCTCTCTAGTTTTAAAAGTTTTAAATATAATAAAAACTCGCATGATATTGCACTCCTTTTAGATAAACCACCACCGGTTGATCCAGTATACGAGAACATCTCTAAGGTCAAAGATACAACGAATTCAGATATAAATCTAGTCAACAATCTTGAAATATGTACGTAATGAAATATACTTTGTATTTTCTACATAACAGATTGGATATTACTCTTATATTATTAGTAGTGTAAGAAAGCATGTTTTAGTAGTATAATCTATCTATAATAATTCATCTATTTTGTACTACAGAATGAGAGTCTCTTCTTCCAACTATATCTAACACATGATGAGGTAGGAACAAATGCTTGGATCTCTTTCCGCTTTGTTTTCATCCTTTTCATCTGGATTGCTTTCCTTCATTTAAATCCATCATCTGTCAGTTTATCTCTTAACTAATATTCTCTCTGTTCAACACAATCATTGCTTTTTTGCATGTGACTTGAGATAATAACTTTTTAACACAAGGTTTATCTTGATCATTCATTGTTATATTAATATAGTATAGTAAAATATACTATAATATATAGTATATAATATATGTATATATTATCCAGATAGCAAGTGTATGTCATTTTAACGTCATTATGTGTCAAATTGACGTTATTTTGATGTTTAATGACACCAGTTTGATACTTGGATAATATATATATATAATATATATATAATATATAAGTATATAATATATAATTTATAGTTTGGTACACTTATGTGATATAGATTTCTATTAAAATCAACTGATATTTTTGGAAATATACATTGAACAAATTTTATTTATACATCTTTCTAAAAAAAAATCTTTTAAATTCTAATAAAAAAACTCATTTTTTAAATCGAAATTCTATATTGCAAAACTACTCGTATATTTTTATTATATTGCATTAGATCTTATATATTTATAAATTTTATTAATATTATTATTTAATTATAATATATATTGCATCATTATAAAATTGTGCACATTTATTTGTTTCAGTAAAAAAGCACAATAGTTCTGTATCTATGGAATCTCTGGAATCACTCTACAATCTCTTTCCTTGGTCAACGAGATTCCAAAAAAGAAATAGCGGTAAGATTGGAACAAAGTCTCACGAATCTAAACTGTTATATGTCATATTGAATATTAAATTAATGGCGAGAAAAAAAAGAGAATGCAATATACGACTGTTCAATACCATCCGTTGTAAATATATTATTTATATATCATTCCGTATAACTTTGCTTTAAGGTTTGAGACAATACAAATCAATGGGTTCCATAAATGTAAAAACCCAACAAATTTCTATAGGTCAGTAGGACATAGATTATTTATATATCAAAATTATTTTTGTAAAAGAGAAAAAAAATAATTGTGCTGATAAATGCTATCTTTAGGAAAATCCCGAACTTTGGATTGTGTCGTTTATAAATCACTGAATAATTCATCATATGAATTAGATAGAGAAAGTATAAAACAGGAGAATTCTCCGTTATTGTTAACTTGTTCAAGATCAGCTCAAGATGTACTTGGTGATAGCACGCAATATACAATGGACAGTAAGCATTGTCATATCATTTTGTTGAAATTTATATTTATGTATTGCATGAATTGTGCGTTATATATTTTCCTTGCACAACAGTGATTTATGAAATCTATATTTTTTGCAGACATGTGAAAGAGATGATTAAGTTGTATAATTTACATACATTAAATTATAATCACAGAGAATACGTAGATATATATATTCGATTGGATTATAAACCAATTATATGTAAATAGACCATATATTAACAAAATTAATAGGAATACTTAGGATAGAATTAATGTTACTTTGAACATTCTTTACAAATAATCACAATTCTGTGCAAGCATTCCCATATATTCATGTATATGTATAAACAAAATGTATTATATAATACTATTTAATGCTTACTAGCATTATATCGTACATATTATCTTAAATAATCTCTAGTCCAGTTAAAATTGGAGTAATTGAAATATTTTATAAAGATAATTAGAAAATCTTTGAAAATATAATCCATAAGAATTGTATATACATTTCTACAGCTTATAAAGATCATATATTTTATACACGCATTTATACTTATATTTAAGATACGCATAACACATACAATTACGATATGAAGAAATGTAATACATTGTTTATTCAATTAAATTTATTAAATTGTGAAAATTAATAAATGTATTTTATTTTAAGCAAATATAAATATTAATATGTTTCGTCAATAATAACATCAAAATATTACCTCTAAATAAATTAATATCGATACTTAGTAGAATAATCTTTAGGTGAAACTACCAAACCTCGACCTTTTCTAGCACCTCGATATACAGTTTCAATGATATCAATCATTTCTTGTTTATCTTCTAACGTCCAGTTTATTTTGTTATTGTTTCCAGTGCCTAAATCTATCATGATGTGTTTGTTTCTGAAGAAAAACATTACTGTACATGGATCGTACAGTTCATACCTATAAAAAATGTTATATTATGAATTATACATTACACTATTATATCATTATTATTCATTATTATTACAATTCATTTTGATTAGCATTAATTAATTAATATAATCTTGTTTCTTTAATTATTCTAAATTACTTTTTTCTTTAATTATTCTTATTTTTTTTTGTTTTATTCTAATTTTTTTTTATTTAATTCAAAATACTTTAAATATAATAATTTAAGTAATATTTTATATTACTTATAGACGTTATTTATATTTCAAATAACTAATACATTATAAATTAGTTATAATTCTTGCTTTACATAATGAATTTTTTATCAGCGATAAATTCATACATACATTTTATTAAAATCCGGCACTTTTGTAATGTCGACCAAATAAATGACAGCAAAGTTCTTAACTTTCTCTGCGATATTATAGAGCACTTCATCCATTTTCATACACATTGGATCCCAATCGTGTCCAAAGCGAATAACCTAAAAAAATGTAATTTTATTTATTTCATCAATATTTGTATTTTTAAATATTATATATATTTTAAATGTTTTTCAATTTTACAAGCGTGCAAATTCTTGGAATAATAATCCCGTTGCAAAATTTCTCTATTTCTCTGTTGAGAAAACATAATTAAAAAAAAAAAAAAAAAATATTGACTTTAGAAAAACTCACCACGACTCTATCTTCCTCAGACAGGATGGCTTGATCGACTTGATAGCCGTTTTCCAAATGTGATAGCATGTAAGACATGTTGAAAGATATATAAAATTCAAGAGTATCCGAGTATAAAAGTTGAAATTTGGTAACTGCAAAATTATCCAATGTTGTTTTACTTTACACCTTTAAAAATTATAGTTATTACAAATTGTAATAAAGGAAAGAAAAAGAATCCTCCTCTTCTTGTTCTTAATTAACACTTGATGAATAATAAGTTTCGCTCAAACTGCCAAAACCTTTGACTATATAAGTATATAGTCAAAGGACAAAATAGGTGATGAAGTACTTTTTTGACAAAGTTTGAAAACATTCAATTAATCATACAGACAAGAATATCATGATATGACACTTCTATGTGAAAAATCAAACTGTATTTCTGCGCCATCTGGACGATAGACGGATTTTTCTAAAACTAAAATGATTAACTCGATTAGTATAAAAGAAAATTATACTACAAGAAAATATAATAAATAATATAATAATATAATCACAGATTAATAGACAGATCGCCAAAGGCCTGTCTAAAGAGGAGACCGTCATTTTTGCCCTTTACCGACACACTTTGCCCCTGGTTCGAGTTCAGGCTAATAAAATCCTTTAATTTTACCAAAAAACTTTGCCTCTAGTGCGAGTTCAGGCTAAAATCCTTTGATTATACGTGTAAAATAAAGATTTTAGTCTGAACTCGCACCAAAGGCAAAGTTTTTTGGTAAAATCAAAGGATTTTATTAGCCTGGACTCGAACCAGGGGCAAAGTGTGTCGGTAAAGAGCAAAAATGACGGTCTCCTCTTTAGAAAGGCCTTTGGCGATCTGTCTATTAATCTGTGTCACAGATTATCTGTGGCAATGGTGTATGTACGTGTACAGATATGCACCACTACATAAAACCCGAGAATTGGTTTTTCGGCGTTGGCAACACTGAAATCGGAGTTTCGCGTTGTCACCACGCGAGGTCTCCAACATCAATTCGGAGTCTGGCCGGACGACCTGTCGACCCTTAATATTAAGAATAAATATTAAATAGTTGACTTTCGGATCTATATTTTTCTCTCGCATTTATTTCTTTAGGGGGAATAGGGGATACATGGAATTAAAAATCTCTTGTAGAGATTATTCCAATTTTATATCTTGGCCGTGTCCAAGTAAATTTGGTGCCTTGTGCACAAGGTATTTAATTCTAACGAAAAAATTAGTTTCGTTTAGGATAACGCACTGTCATCCACGATTTGGCTCTTATTGCCTATCTTATATATGCTAAATTTATATTAATATTGAATATTAAAAATTATATATAGAATATATAAATATTAAGAATTATTTAAATATTAATATTAATATTAATACATTGAATATTAAAAATAATATATATATATATATTAATAGGAATATTCAATATTAATATTGAATATTTATTCTTAATATTCAATATTAATAATATTTGATATTATAATTTTAATATATTTAGTATTAATATTTATAATATTAATTTTTAAAATATCAGTACATATATATTTATTCTCAATATTTATTCTTAATATTAAAAAAATATTACTTACTAAAACTAACTTAAATATAATATACTTCTCTTATAGGATTAATTACTATTTATTCTTAATATTTAATATTAATAATATTTATATTTAATATTTTTAATATTAATATTTAATATTTATTCTTAATATTCTCTCAATATTAATATTTAATATTATTTTTAATATTTTAAATATTAATATTTAATATTTAATTCTTAATATTCAATATTAATTAAATCAATAAAATAGACGGCTCATGTAAATCTATACAACCCCTATTGTAGAATGTAGTTCAAAAATAAAATGAATAATTTTATGACTTTTAATTTTATTAATTTCCGTTTTTGTCAGTCTTATATAATTTTTACAATGAAAATCAAATATGAGAAAGATATACATCACATAGCGATAAATAAAAAAACTAACAATTTAGTTAAAAAATATTTACAAAATAATATATCTATATAAATATTTATCTTTATACATACCATAAATATATTATATTAAATATTTTAATCTATTTTAATAATATGTTAAATAAAAGGTTTTTATAAAACATTTATGAATCTTTATCATAAAATTCTGTGCTGTCTGGGGTATGTATAGTTAGTAAAATGATAATATATAGTCAAATTCTTAATTTCGCGTTTTATTGGTAAAACAGACGGCTTTAGGATCTCCTTATTACCAATAATAATATTTATTTTTGTTTCAAATGTATGTATATTTAAATTATAATGACAATAAAGAAACTATTTTATTTACAATACTCTTAAAATTTTCAAGTGACTATTTCTTCAGTAATTAAAGATTTTACCATTGTCAACAGTCATACCCCGTTGAACACACCAGTTCTCGTCAGTTCTCGTCAGTTCTCGTCATCGAGAGCATTTAGCGTCAACAATAACTTACGAAGTAGACTTATAATACCAAAAAGGACAGTATAAAGTGATACGAAACTGTCATTAGATACAAAGAAAATACTAAATACGATAAGTGATGAAGAAATTAATATCTTCACCAAAAAACCCGATACGATAGATATAAATAACATAACCTCACTAACAACGCTGAGCAAACAAACTACATGTAAGCTCAACAAAGTGGATAATAAGGCAATAAACATAAATAGTGTCACGATAAAAAGATTACAACGACAATTATTAAATAAACAAAAAGAAAAACCAGCAACCCACACCAAATCTCGAATTGATCAATGAAGAAAAACAAACAATCCGACACAGACAAAGAAAACACACAGCCCATAAAAAATATCACAACTCACAATACATCAAATAAAGAAGAGGCAGCACAATTACAAGCCAACATGAGTTCTAGAATTGCCGATGCAATAAACTATAATGTGTCAACTAAAAATAAATACGAACCGTTAATCGACATTACTAACCATCAAATGGAAACCGATACAGAGTCATTCGACAACATCATAACAGAATTAAGAAACCGAAATAAAGGCTTCAATTTAAATACCAGAACTCTTAACACCCAAGATCAAAGCATCAACAAAGGACAAGAAGAAAGAACAACCGACCAGGACCCTTCAAACCAACATCACCCCCAGAGGCAAACAAAACCAATACAAAAAGAAGGAAGGGAAACCACCACCGTTAAACATTATTTACCAAAACCCAAAGGACACGGAACGACTTATATCCAGTCAAATCAAACAGGCAAATTTCTCAATTAAACGTATAAATAACAATAAACATATATTACAGATGTTCTCACTAATAGATTTTCATAAAGCCAAAAAACTATTAGAATCAGTTCACACTTGCTTCTACACTTTTACGCCAAAAGAAAATAAAACTATATCGATCCTATTGAAAGGACTGCACTATTCATACGATCCGCAGACAATCTTAAATGAATTAAAATCATTAAATACAGAAAATGTAAGTTTCCTTAAAGTTACACCATTTCAAACAAAAAGATCTATAAACGAGAACATCCCACTATCTGTATTTTTGGTGCAGTTGGAAGCAGGAAGTAAATTACAAAATCTTTGCAAAATAAATAGACTATGCCATCATGTAATATCATGGGAAAAACTAAAAAATAAAGAAATCATCCAATGTAAAAGATGCCAACGCTTAGGACATACAGCATCCAATTGTAACCTTAAATACAGATATGTAAAATGTAATGACCCACATGAACCAGGAAAGTGTAATAATCTACAAATAACACAACAGATAAGACTAAAATATACTGTGCAAACTGCAAAGTCATGGCCACCCAGCATCCTATCGTGGATGCCCAATTCTACTTGAACTAAAAAAGAAAGCACAAGAAAAAAAAACGAATTTACAAGAGAAAAGAGAAAAGAAAATAATAAACTTGAATAACTACGTAACAAGAAACATTAGTTTTGCAGATATGACTAAAAATAACAATACGACAACATCCTTACCTCCAGAACACACCTCCTTACCCCAAGATAACACGTCCATACATACACCTCCTATGACAGATATTAATGAGCTTATAAACACATTCAAAACTCAAATAATGACTATCTTGCAAAAACAACAGGAACAAATAAATAATCTCACACAACTATTTGAAAAAACTGAAAAAAACAGATATATACTAAACATTATTGACTCTATTCACAGTAATAATGACTAACTTTAATCGTAATCTCAGAAATAAATATTTTTATCGGCTCTCAATATAAAGAATATAAGTATGCTGCCTTCTAAGCCGGGCAATAGAGCCAAGAAACGAAACGAAAAATTAATTAAACGGAACTGTATCTCAATTGAGATCCCAAAGTTCCACATATAAATTAATTTCGAAACTTACATATGGAGAAATAAGCGAGAAAAATATAGGTCCGAAAAGTCGCTGAAGCGGGAATCGAACCCGCGTCTTTCACTTTCCGGGCGACTGCTTACCAACTAAGCTATTCAGACCCTTTCGATCCATATTTTTCATTTGCCTTTTAAGTAGATGTTAGTAAATACCGCCGTGATTAGCCAGGCGTGAATAAACTCAGAAATAAATATTTTTATCGGCTCTCAATATAAAGAATATAAGTATGCTGCCTTCTAAGCCGGGCAATAGAGCCAAGGAAACGAAACGAAAAATTAATTAAACGGAACTGTATCTCATTTTGAGATCCCAAAGTTCCACATATAAATTAATTTTGAAACTTACATATGGAGAAATAAGCGAGAAAATATAGGTCCGAAAAGTCGTGAAGCGGGAATCGAACCCGCGTCTTTCACTTTTCGGGCGACTGCTCTTACCAAATGAGATACAGTTCCGTTTAATTAATTTTTCGTTTCGTTTTCCTTGGCTCTATTGCCCGGCTTAGAAGGCA